ATAATCCTGTACCCACAGTTGATCCAGAGGAAGGCAAAAAAACCCAGCAAAGCATGATCCAATTTGCTCCTGCTGGGAAAAAAAATTCTTCCTGATCCCACGAGAGGCAATTGGATATTCCCTGAATCAACTTTACTTATAAATGTTAGTATCCAGTTATATTCTGTGTATCCAAGAAAGAATCCAGGCCTTTTTTGCAGCAATCCACAGAGCTGGCCAGAACCAACTCTTGAGGGAGATTGTGATGTTACTACCCTCCTTCCCACCTCATCCAATCAGAGAAGGGTTATACAGCAGGAAAATGATTCAAAACACACCAGCAGGTCCACCTCTGAATGGCTCAAGAAAAACAAAATTAAGGTTTTGGAGTGGCCTAGTCTAAGTCCGGACTTAAATCTGATTAAGATGCTGTGGAATTAACTTAAAGCGGAATTCCACTCACCCTGTCAAAAAATAAAAGTTAGCAGCTACAAAAACTGTAGCTGCTGTCTTTTAAGAAACAGCCACTTACCTGTCTCTCGGTCCCGTGGCGTGTCCCCCACAGTCCATTTCAGCGGGCGTCCTGTATTCCAGGAGACCAGCATCTTCAGTGTGGGCACCCGGCTGTGACAGCTTGCAACTTCACAGCCGGGTACCCACTGCGTATGCGCGAGTAGTGCTGAGCTTTATGAATGGTCCTGTAGTCTTCTGGGACCTGTCATGTGTCCCAAAAGGCTACAGGAAGGGAGGAAACCTTCCACTTCTAGACGCCTAGGCGATCGGACCGGCAGTGGGAGCGGGTACCTGTCAAATTCTGGTACCCGCCCCTCAAAGGTGCCAATCCTTAATGGGGAGCGGGGGAGCAGTCCTTAAAGCGGAACTTCCCCTTTTGGGTGGAGCTCCACTTTAAACAGGCTGTTCATGCTTGAAAACTCTCCAAAGTAGCTGCATTAAAACAATTTTGCAAAGAAGGGTGGGCTAAAATTCCTCCACAGCGATGTGAAAGACTCATTGCCAGTTATCACAAACGCTTGACTGCAGTTGTTGCCACCAAGGGTGACACAATCAGTTATTAGGTTTAGGGGGCAATTACTTTTTCACATAGGGCCAGGCAGGTATGGACAGCATTTTTCCCTTAATAAATTAAATTGTTTTTTAAGAACTGAATTTTATATTTACTCGGGTTTTCTTTGTGCAGTATTAAATTGGTTTGATGATCTGAATCATTTAGGAGTGACAAATATGCAAAAAAAAAAAAATCAGGAAGGGGGCAGCACTTTTTCACAGCACTGTAGGAATATAATCTGTATTTTCCATCCCTATATCAGTCTGCAATACAACTCATATTTATTAGAATGCTTCATAAATAGGGAGAATATTATGGCAATAGAAGAAGCATTTTTACAGTTTTAACCACTTGCCCTCCAGAGGATTTACCTCCCTTCCTGACCAGGCCATTTTTTTGTTAGGCCCTGTGTTATTTTAACGGACAATTGCGCGGTCATGCAATGCTGCACCCCCAAATTAAATTTCTGTCGTTTTTTTCCCCCACAAATAGAGAGCTTTCTTTCAGTGGTATTTGATCGTCTGAGCGTTTTGTTTTTTTTTTTGCACTATAAAAAAAAAAAAACAATTTTGAGAAAAAAAAACTATATTTTTGACTTTTTGCTATTAAACATGTCCACTAAAAAATTAATTAAAAAAATTTCATCATAAATTTAGGCCAAAATGTATTTTGCTACATGTCTTTGCTAAAAAAATCCCAATACATGTAAATTAATTGGTTTACGTGAAAGTTATATAGCGTCTACAATTGGTGGTATATACACTGAGATTTGTTTTTAACTTGTTTATTTCTACTAGTAGTGGCGGCAATCAGCAACTTATAGCGGGACATTCTGACACTGGGGGAACTGACTTGGTGTCACTGACATCCCCAGTGACACCAATACAATGATCAGTGCTAATAAAAAGCACAGACAGGGGCACTGGGCATGAAGGGGTTAACATGTGGAGCGATCAAAGGGTTAACAGTGTGCTGTTTTACTAGGTGCTGTGTCTGTGTGGTTCACTGTAAGCACACTGCTTTGCATGGCTGTGCTGTGCATAGCCATGTAAAACAGTGTGCAGGAGCTGACAGGGAGAGAACTTTTTGTTTACAAACAGTTCTTCCCGCTGTCGGAGATGCTCGACAATCACCAGGCGCTGGCAAGTAATCACCGGACCGGGACCCGGTGATTGACAGCCACGGCCGCAAATGGTGACGCGGGTAGGGCGCACATGCGTCTCGCACGTGCCCCCTTTCCGGAAATGCGAAATCAGGTATATAGACGTGATTTCGCACACCTATGCCACCCTGTAGCAGTACTTCTAATAAATGTGTGCCACAGACAGTGAGACAATAAATAAGGTATATAAATAAAACACATTGCATAAACCATAAAGTGTAAAAAGAATGAATATGTAATACTAAAATGAATTTAAATCACTTTCTGTTAGTATATATTACCAGATTTTTAGTATTTTCTAAAGAAAGAAAGTTTGTTGCTTACAGGCACAAAACCACAGTCACCGCCACAGAGAACATAATGAATCAGGACCAATTTGTCCCTCTTAATCCATGAATAAACAGCATTGAAGTAGCTTTTGACAAGGAAGTTTTTAGTTGCCAGGCAGTAGTGGCGGTGAATGTAGGTGACTGGCTATTGATTGTTACCAGCCAAATAAAGGGCATGTAATTGGTCAGGAGAGAGAATCTCCTTATCTGAGATCTTCTCAGATTACTTCTTTTGCTCCACATTTGTTAAATTCTTTATAATTTTATAAAGAGATACATTTCTTGAATTACATTTCTCAAAATCCCTGTGAAATAAGAATTTATACCACACAATTACTTTAGTGCAGAATTTAACCAGACTGAACTACATGGACTCCAATTTGCTACGCAATAGGTAGAGTAAAGCTTAATTATTTATTATATTTACTAATATAATAAAAAAAATATTATTAAAAAAATATAATATATAAATTATAAACATTTATTTTATATAGTGATTTAGGATAAAAAATTTCCTTTTTTTAATTTTTGTTGGGGTGGTGATAGTGGGGTGAGAGAAATTCCCCAAAAATGTACTATATTACAGTTTACCAGTTCTCTGATGTGAAGGCTGACTTTCTTTTCTTCTTTTCAGGCTCTTTTTCTTTGTCCTTCCCTGGCAATCTTGACAGAAACACAATACTAGGGTGACCATACTCTTGCTAGGTTCACACTGCTGAGTGGGGATGGTCTACATTTTTGTGTGTGTACTGAACACACACAAACATCTAGGGAGTTTGGTGGGTCGTTCGCCTGTGCGCCCCACAATGCAATGTGCTCTGGTGGTGCATTGTAATTAGCCAAAGCATTGCACCTGACCACAGGTCAGGTGCAATTATTTGGCCACTCACAGCTAAGTTCACAATAAGAGCCATGATTGGCGAAAGTCTCAGTAACTGGTGAATCATGGCTCACAGCAATTGGACGGAGCTAGTGGGGATGTCACCGCTAGCTCCACCCAATTGTTAATGACAGTTATGACAGTTGCAGGTCAGACATACACAATTGGCCAGAGCAGAGGGGTGCCCCCTTATTTAAAGGGGTACCCTGATGCTAATGAGCCCCTCTGCCCACAAACCCTCCACAACCATAAGAAGAGACCCTTGTCCTCATTGACATGGGGACACCGTCCCCATGCCAAGGGCACATGGCCTGGTAATTCCAAGGGAGGGGGTGCGCTTGTTTGTTTCCCTTCTCCTCTTGCCTACCATACCTGTGCTCGGATCAAGGTTTTGGTAGGAATTTAGGGGGAACCCCTACACCAGGGGTCTCTAAACTTTTCAAACAAAGGGCCAATTTACTGTCCTTCAGACTTTTGGGGGGCCAGATTGTGGCCAGTGGGGGTAGAAAATGTCCTGGGCCCAGCATTAGTGAAAATAAACATGGCCTAGGGGTTGGTGGTCAGAAACAGGAGGAGTAGTGCTCCATCATTGGTATTAGTGTGAAGAATAATACCCCATTGTTGGTGTCAGGGCAGGAATTATGCCCCACTGTTGATGTCAGAGGAATAGTGTCCCAAGGGCCAGGTAAAGGCTAGCAAAGGGCCACATTCGGCCCTCGGACCACAGTTTGGACACCACTGCTCTACACTTATTTCCCCCACTTTGTGGGGGTGGGATTCCCCTTAAAAGTCCTACCTGGCCTAAAGGGTCTGGTATGTTTTTTAGGGGAAACCCCACACGTTTTAAAAAAAAATATTTTACTGTGGGGTCCCTCCTAACCTTCCTACCAGACCTAAAGGGTCTGGTATAGATTAGGATGGGGGGACCCCACACTGTGTGTTTTTTTGTTTGTTTGTTTTTTTTAAATAAAAATTAAATTTTTTAAAAAATGTCAGTCCTGCTGCAGCAGTTTCTATGCATTGTACAGATGTGCAACTTTGCAGGTTGTTTAACCTCCCTAGCGGTCTGATTATGTCCATATTTCTGTGCTCAAAGTGGTACATTTTTTTGCATGGAAATATGTATTTTTTTTATTGTAGGACTGTAATTTTTAGGAATAACTCACTGAAATATGTCCGATCAAGAGTCTAGTAAACATCCCGGGTATGTTAAAATTTGAAACACGAAATCATAAATTATAATTTAATAAATAATCATAAAAAATAATAATATAATAATAATAAAATGTAATTCAATAATATAATCAAACCAAAAACACTGAAATTTGAAATATAGCGCCAAGTTCGCACATCACTGAGCAAAGCCACAAAATCGTTTTCAGTGTCTGATGACGAATTTCCCCACGAATCATTATCACTTAATTCTGCAAGTAGTTCTAATTTACTATCGCTGTTCTCTAGCTGGTCTAAAACCGATTTTGACCTAAAGGGATGCTTTTTGGACGACATGGATGTTTCTCAGTTTCCAGGCAGAAAGAACAGTAAAAATGCAGGCAGGGCACAGGACAAAGCACTAGGGACAAAATGTATGTGAAATGGTTTGATACAGTAATGTTTTACTATGTTATTTTAGTGAATTTAGTGAATGTTACTTTTTGTCATTTTCAAATTTCCCGCCATTCCGTCGTTGCAGGGGACGGAACCCAGAAGACAGATGCAGGCATCCGCCGGAGGACATTACAGGGGACACTGCAGGAGGGACATTGCAGGAGCGCAGGACAAGGTAAGAGAAGAACAGATCCCGGAGCAGCGCCGCATGGTAAGCCCGAGTGTAGCTCGGGGTTACCGCTTGTGGTACTGAAACTTTACCCCGAGCTACACTCAGGAATACCGCAAGGGAGGCTACGGGGACCCCCAGGCATGATATCTAAAGGAATTTTTTTTTTTTTTTTTACTTTGAGCAATGAAAAATGACTGCCCCTTTAAAAATTGTACCTTTTGAAATGTTGTTTTTCACTGAGCATTGCAGCTCAGGAAGTTATTAGCTGACAAGACTAATGTCAGGATCAATAGGTATTTTTGTACATTTTGAACAGATACAAGAAAACATTTTGTTTTTAATCAGAGATAATTGACTATCCCAAATGCTAGGAGGGATACAGTGTGGTGTTTCTCCACTGTGGATTTACTCAAGGAAAGTTTTACAGTTTGATCCTTTGAGGTTTCATACTCCAGTACATAGAGAGTTTTTTTATTGAACACTGGAGAAATACCCATTGTGCATGTTATAATATTTTACATTTGATACACATTTAAACTGTAATGTGGTATATTTCAGTCTTTAAACAAGGCTTGCATGTTTTTTTTTATAGTTAGATTTATCTGTACTTAACCCCTTCAAATCTAAATGCCTAAGCACAATTTTGCAACGTGACGTTTTAGTAAAACCATACATATCATCACAACTACTTTCTACATCCAGCTGGATTATACCTTGGTTTTTCAGGACAAATTGGGCCTTCAGTTGGTAGTAAATGGTAATGGATATCTTCTGATTTTTGTTTTATTATCAAAGGAAAACTGGCCCAAAATAGTAAAAAAAAAAAATATTTTTTTTATTTAGCTGTGTGTTTCTTGTTACTACCATAACCTACCACCAAAGAACAACCCAAAATAAATTCTCCAGCTCTTGACAATTGCAGCGATACCATATATGTGTATGTTATTTGTTGTTTGTCTTTTTTTTTACCTAAAACACACTGACACTGACATTGACACTAACTGACACTGATACCAATTTTTTTTAAATCTTTACCTTTGACCCTGACCTTTAGACCTTGCCCTTTGACCCTGACCTTGACCCAAACACCCTGGCACTGAACTAGATCAAACCTTGATCTAGGTATTTTTTCTTTATTTTTTAATATTTATTTATGTATTTTTTTATCTTGATTTTTTTTTTTTTTACAAACATTTTTTTCCCTCTATGCCAGGAGTTAGAAAGATACAATATTTCTCTCTCCTCCATTCATAGAGAGAAAAAAACAAGAGGGCCAGGCTGTACAGTGACTGATCACTGTGATAGCCAATCAGAGGCTATCACAGCGATCATGTGACCCAGAATCGTGAGTTCCAGGTCCTGATCACTGGAACGGGACCCGATGCTCTCAGTGACACCACGGTCTTTGTGCTGGGAGCACACCATGCAGCGCATTCACAGCAGCCAGACAGGTACACAAATATGCGGCCCCACAGAAAAAAGCCCAGTTCTGTGAGGCCGCATATTTGTGTTACGTCGGCGTCAAGGGGTTAAAGTATGGTTATACTGACATTATACTTTTTATATTAAAGAACATTTATTAGCTATTGTTGGAGATTTTTAAATGGGGTTTTGCATATACTTTTTATATGTTTTTACAGTGGGCAATAAAGGTACTGTTTGTAAAGATGCAGTGTACAGTCTATTGTGCCATATATACGTACCAAAATGTGCCAAGAGTGCGCACAAGCACAGGTACTGGCTGCTAATGGAAAGCTCCCAATCGCTACTTGCAATCCAGGGTTTCCAATCATGTGACAGCTGTAACAGCCAATCATGGTGGTCACATGATCATAAATCCCGCCCCACCTCCCGACATCTGAAATCCCTTAAAGTGCCGGAGACACCGTGGTTATACAGTAGTTTGATTTGCTGTAGTATTTAAACAGGGCTTAAATGTTTTTTAAAAGTAAAAACATTCAATTATTGATTTAAGCTATTTGGTCAGAATTATGCATATAGAGTAAAAATGATCACACCACATGTGGGCTGATGGTGGAAGATGTTCCTCGTGACTGTAAGCCCACCAGGTTCTTGGGCTATGCTAGGCAGTGTGGTTGGTGTCTATTGTGCCCATGCACTAGGGGAACCTTTGCCCAAGGGCATGCTTACCAATGCTTGGGACCAGGCAGGAACTAAGGTCATGTTTACAATCTAACATTAAGGTAGTCTCCCAACTTACAGATGAGCTGATACTACTACTACCAAGTTTCTCTACTAGGTGCTGTCCCATACACACAGGGGGGTTATTTACTAAAACTGGAAAGTGTAAAATCTGGTGCAACTCTGCATTGAAACCAGCTTCCAGGGTTTATTGCCAAAGCTTAATTGAACAAGTTGAAGTTAGCAGTTGATTGGCTACTGTGCACAGCTGCACCAAATTCTGAGTGCTCCAGTTTTAGTAAATCTACCACACAGTGACTTTTTTATGTTGCAGTTGGAGTAGTGGGCCAAGCAGCACTACCCCCATAGTCAACCATACACATAGTCAGATCTAATGCATGTCCTATATTAACTTTTCCTCTTTCATACCATCAGTAGGGGCTCATTCACACTTGACTAATTTCTAACTCTTGCCAAACACCTCTATAGAGTTTGACAGGCATTAGACAGGCGTTTGGGAAGCGTTTTAACGCTCCTCAAACGCTCCCCAAATGCCCTATGTGCATTTGCCAAGCAATAAAACTGCACCACAAATGCCTATAATGAAGTTTAACGGTATTAACGCTCCGCAACCGCCTCGCAACTGTCTCGCAAACATCTGCCAGGCGTTTGAGGAGCATCATCACCATAGACTTGAATGGAAGGCTTCAACTCCTCCTGACTTGACATGAGGCGCCAATTTTGATGCGACGCTAATGCTTCAGTCTGAACAGTGTGCTGCCATGTGTAGAATTTTCATAGGCATTTGTGGAGCATTAAAAATGCTTCCCAAACGCCTGTCTAAGGCCTGCTAACAAAGCTAGTGTGAACTTAGCCTTAGACTGAGGGCCTCTGTGAAGCTGGTCTGCACCTAGTTGCTATGGGAGACAGTCTGATAGGGAGGGAGCCCAAGCAGAGACTCCTTCGCTACCGGAGATTACCTCACCTTACCCAGGTACCACGCCTTGACTGGTTGTATAGTGTCTTTTGTTGTGTACTTTGTTTCCATTAGCAATGGCCTTACTCTCTTGTAGCATGCTTGCTTGCTACTGCAGTGTGATATACTGCACACCCTTCTAGTGCTTTACAGGTCCAAAGCGATTTAAAGGCAAATTTGTCTTTATTAGATTTTGTATCAAATTAAACAAAATATAGCAAGAAAATAATAAGAACATCGAACATCAACAATGGAATGGGCAAAAAACAACAACATAGGTATGATTAAGATCCATGGGGATGAAGGAAGATGAATCCAAACATAGATACAAGGGGGGCATCCCCAGACAGGCGGTATTCAACAATAATGAGATAATTCCATAAGACCAAGAGAATACACCCAGACAGAGAGGAAAGAGAGAGAAGGAGAGAAGAAGAAAAAAACAGGGGGGGAAAAGGAAAGGGGGGGGGGAGACACCAGATGTAAAGATATAGAAGAAAAAGAGGAAAGAAAAGGAAGAGGGTCGGGAGACAGGCACGGCAACAAGTGGAGACAAGGTGATCATCCATGAGTATCCCATCGGAATGATCCCACCGGCCGTACCCCAATACGGACAGCAGGGCCGCACCAATGAACATGCTAGAATGAAAATGACTCGAGTGAGTAGGGCTCAACTCCGTTAAGGCACGACAGAGGAACACAAATCTCTCGGAGAGACGAAGAGGAGAAATGGAGCCAGGCTGACCACAGCAACTAATGTTTATCGTAGGTATCATTGGCAAATGCCAGCATTTCCTCCATACGCATCGTATCATTAAGTACGGAAACCCACAGTGGAAGAGGTGGGGGAGTAGCCGTCTTCCAAAAGAGAGGTATCAATTGGCGGGCTGCGGATAGAAAGAAGCGCAGCAAGTTTTTCTTCTGCACAGCCAGCGAGCCCGGTAATATAGAAAGGAGAGCAATTTCTGGCGAAGAGGCCAAGGACTCACCATAGATCTTGTCATATATAGCAAAGACCTGTCTCCAGAAGGGTTGTATTAGGTCGCAATCCCACCAGTTATAGAGCTGTGTACCAACAGCTTTTGTACAGCGCCAGCATAGATTAGATGTAGAAGGAAATATTTTGTGTAGGGAGAGGGGGTCCCTGTACCTTCGAGAAAGGAGCTTAAAGTTCTTTTCTTGTTAATAACAAGAAATAGACGATTTATGAGTGGAATGACGTGGATCAGTCTGCAGCCGAGATGTCTTTACCTAGAGCTTGAGCCCACGCCTTGGTGTAGGGCGGGAGATCAGAATGAAGAGCATTGTGCAATACTTTATATAGGGAGGCTAGGACATGTCTAGGCAGATTAGAGAGGGATGACAGCCGCTCAAACTCAGTAAGTGGACGATGAGAGTCGGAGGAAGAGTGTAGGTGTTTGCAAAATGCGGAAAAATGTAAAGTGGTCAACCAATCCCCAGGCCCGCCCAGAAGGAGTGGAAGACCCGATTGAGGGCAAATAAAGTCTCGAGCTACAGGCCATAAGGTGCGTGTAAAGGGACCAATGACAGAAGAGCCCAACCCCTGAGGAAGAGCAGGGTTTTCAAAATAGAGGTGATAAGGGAGAGGGATCAGACAATAAGAGAGCAACTATGCCCCGTTGATACCATAGATCAAAGTGATTTAGCATGTCTGCCATATGACACTCATGCACTCCTTTTTTAACTTTAGACCAGGCTCATGCAGTTAATAAGCTTTACTGAAAGTCTTTCAGAGTAACATAAAAAAAAGTGCAAATAAAGTCCAGAACATCCTAACCCTGGCTGTCTGTTTAGCGGCTGTCCAGGCATACCTTTGAAAGGAGAAAGTCCATTAACTGGTGGAAATTCAGTGCTCCAGTCTCTTGTGGGACTACTAGGTGCAGCAGCTCCACAGCAACTTCCCATGCAGGCTCCTCTCTCCCTCCAGACAGGGTTACATCTTCATCTGAGAGCCTCTTGCTTCTTCCTATGTGGCAGCACATGTCT